CCCACAACATCTCAACTGATTATTTCAAATTAGTTCACACAGTCAACAGAAACCTACCAAAAGCAATATGTTTCCGACTTCTCTGTACTGCAGAAGCCCTCGCAATATGCATCGAAAAGCTGGAGCTGTGTGTTCAAAAGAAATTAGTCAAACCTCTACAACTACCATGGACCTATTTCGGTATGTTCCCTTAGCTTCCTTTTTTATTTTACTTTTGTTCTTTTTTGATCTTATTTTCGTTCGTGGTGTGTGTGATTCCTACTCTCTCTGTCTGTATTCAGTTCACCCCATTTTTTCAGTTATAAGAACAGCTATTTTAAGTTTTAGAAAAGAAAAGGCGTTCAGCAAAGAGTTACTCTTTTCGGTGATATCATTCTCAAGCTGTACAAACCGCAAATTTGTAGTAATTTTTCTTGGCAACAGAAGGAATATTTCCAAAGATGTGTTGATGCAATTGTTAATTTTTGACAACAAATTACGTAATTTAGAAGGCGTTAATCGGTTAGAAACTAAAATAAAGTTACAAAAGTAGGTTGGGTGACGTAATCTAATTGCTAGGGTTCAATGAAAAATGACTTGACTCTGATTCATTTTTCATTGTTTGTCAAAAATTAACAATTGCATCAACACATCTTTGGAAATATTCCTTCTGTTGCCAAGAAAAATTACTATAAATTTGCGGTTTGTACAGCTTGAGAATGATATCGCCGAAAAGAGTAACTCTTTGCTGAACGCCTTTTCTTTTCTATGACTGAATGGGAATTTTCAAATTATTTTAAGTTTGTTTCCATGCTTTTCCTGTTCACATTTATAATTCATTTAAAATAACTATTTTACAATTATATCCTAATCCTGTGTAATTTTTGTTTCAAAGGCTTATTAATATATGTGTAAAACTTGGGCACTCTTGTAGTAAGTAATTCCATATTAGTTTGTTTATTAAATGTATCAAACAGTCAGTAAAACAGTATTATTTACTGGATGACAAAGTTTCGAACACAATTTATTGCTCATAATCATTTCATCAATTATAATCACACGACTTCGAAACTTGAGTTTTACACTTTTCTTTGTTCTCTCCTATTGGTTGTTGTTGCGACAGTAGAATTTTCCAGATCTCCAAGTGGACAGGTGTTGAATCATTCCTATTGCACGTATTGACTCTCACTTGATTCGATAAACAAAGCTTCTGTTATCAATCTCTCCCTCCACCATGTTAGTTGTATTAGATTTTGAAACTGTCATCTTATCCCATCCATCCTATTGTGTAGTTGTGTGTTATTTGGTTTAGTGATCTTCATTGTTTTTTAATTTGACCTTCAATACGTCCTTTTAATTTGACCTAAGTAGTCTATTTTCCAACCTCTTAACTCTTTATTAATTTCATATATATTCATTCCTATGACAAGTCCGTGGAGTGTGATCTGATTGTTCGAAATGTGTTGTATGCGCAAATACACTACACGATTCAAACAAATTACGTCTTCTCGTTGCTTTATCTAAATTATTGTTATAATTACTTTGTCAATTTGAGTAGTGTGATTGTGGATATTTAAGTGAGAATGAAAATTGTAACAATTGCAAATATACGTATGGCGCATGGTCAAATAATCTTCACTGTATCGCCAAATTAATGACTGTCCGGTCAAAGTGATCTACAGAATGTTTTTGTAATTCCCCATTTAGATATTTAGGAGAAAAGAAGGGATGTTCTGAGAAGAGTGAATCTTTTTTGGACAATGTCATTCCTAAGCTATACAACTGCTGCAGTTAATGTTTGCTATCTAAAAGTATCATGATACCATTTAACTTCATGGATTTTTGAAGATAAAACAGATCCCCCCCCCCCCGGTGTGAATTAAACTTCTTCAAAACACAGAAGTGATGGTAATCCACTTGTTGAATCCTGAACTATGTATGCAAAGGGTCTTCATTTAGTTGTTGAACCTACAATGGACCTTTCTTGTCTTAATACTTTGTAAGTAATTTATGTCAATCTTAGTTTTTTTCATTATATAAGGTCATGTAACAAGGTTTCGTGATTGATAGCACTCGTCAGTAGGGCGTATCTGCAATCTTCAAGGAACACATATCCCTTTGGGATTCGAAATTCGGCCATCCACTACTACAAACTTGCAAACTTGACTGACTGAATTCAGTTGCTGTCAGTCAAGGGACTAGACACATCATACTAGTAAGTAACTAGTGCCCAGTCAAAGTACCCAGTGAAATCCAACAGGAGATCAGTGGCAAGCCCGAATTTCCCAGTGGTAGTGTCTCTGACTATGGCACTAGGCAACGCGAGTTCCAGTCTCAGAAGGGACATGAGTTCTTTCAAGGTTGCAGATATGCCCTACTGACGAGTGCTAACAAGCACGAAACCTAGGTCAGGATGGGTTTCCTACCGATTGCATTCAATCATCTGATATCAAGAACTCCGTGCACTGCGATGGTGAGTCACCTAGCATGGTGGACACACTGCAAGCTTCAGTTATAGAATCCAAAGAAATGGCTAGACACATTTCACTAGTTGCTGACTATTCCATTATGGGTAAATTTTATTTTGATAGAGTCTCACAATGTTCTACAGTAATATTTACCCATAATGGAATTACACTCTACCACAGTGCCCAAGTTTTATTCTTACATTGCTGACTATTGTCCTATGAAATTTCCAATTACATTAAGTCACGTAAACTACTTATTTAATTTCTACTTTCGTTTTCACTCGATTAACGCTTTCTATATTACGTAAGTCTTATTTAAAACTTGCAACTTCAGTGCCATGTCTATATATATACTATATATACATATATATATGCAATTCTACAGCCTAAGAATGATACTGCTGAGAACAGTAACACTTCACTGAACATTCCTTCTTAGATATGACTTTACGGAGGTTTAGTGAAAAGCATTAAATTAACCGTAAACATTTATTTCATTCTCGATTAGTTCTTCATTGACAGCTCAACAATAAAAATGGAGTTTTTAATATCATACATCAGCTGGGTTCGATTCCCAACCGATGCACTACTAAACCTCGTCACCCCGTCTACTAGCTGTCAGCAAAGCCTGGAAATGACGGAAAGTTGGCCATGATAATAGCGAACCGACGGGTGAAAAAACACAATACCTTGGTTACTAAGATTTCAAACCTGTGAGTTCTCAGTTCCACTCGGAATGTACGCATTTTGGGGAAGAAATTTTGTACATAAATTTAAAACGAAAGCGGAACTAAATCTCACGTGATGACTTGATCAACTTCCGAAGAATGAAAATGGTCTAATCAGTAGAAACATCGACTTTACAGTTCAGTAATGGTGTCTTCATTCTAAAATGGTTCTTCCAATTTGTTTTGAACTTATCGATAATTTAAAATATGTAACAAACTTTTGTTAATAAACCAGGAGATCATGAATTCATTAAATTTCAGTGGAGCTCTACACACAGTAATATATCATCAGAAATATCTTAGGAGATAACTCCATTATGGATAAGATTTTATTTTGATAAATCACACAGTGTGGTTATACAGCAATATTAACTGATGACCAACTTTCGAGCACAAATTATTACTGTTCATAATCATGTCAAGTCACTCACACAATTTTCTTGTTTCATTTATATACATGAGTAAAATTGGTGATTAGACATTTGAATAAAAATCAATACAAGATAAGAAAGTACATTCAGAAATAATAATATGAGTGTTATCAATCAAGTACAATCAGATGGGAAATAAGACGAGTGTTTTTTATAGTCAGAATAAATAAGTAACTTGTTAGAATGTTGTGATGTACGTGAATTGAACTGAAATAGAATACAATTGAAGATTATTTATTATCCACCTCTGATTTGACTGACTGGTGGTGACAATATCTTCCATGCATATCTCTGGTATTTGCATTGAGTCATTTCTGTTGCATGTGTAGTGTTGTGTGTAGACTTGATGAACCACGATTCAGTAATCAATCTCTCTCTCCACCTACACAGATTACTTCTTAGAATTTTGACT